GAATCTGCACCAGCATCTGACCCTGCTGCTCCAATATTTGCGATAGCACATCACCATTTCCGTCGTTTGATCGCTCTGACAATCGCTGCATTAATACTGTCTGCTGCCTTAACACCTGAGCCAATGCCCCATCACCAGCTTGATTATTTTCGCTTCTGTTAGTGGATGTGTGCGGCGTCAGTTCCTCGAGAATCTGCATCAACGATGCCCTTGCAGCGAAATATCGATCATCAAAATCCTCCTCCTCTGGTGCATCTCGTTCTTGATATTCCTCTTCGGGCACTATGTTCACCAATTCCTGCATGATATCCTGGAACCTTGTATAGGCCTCATCTAGACGTTGTATGCGCGCTTCGAGCTCCTCCTTCGTCGTAATGTCTGAGGTTTCGGTTGCACGAGTTATAAAATTTTGTGTTACTGTCAATCTTGCCTTGACCGTTCCTCTCTGCCTTCGTAATTGCTCGACGCTCATCGTGATGTATAGTCGGTAGCCTTTCTTCCCACACGGATCACTGTTGCGACCGTTGAGTTCGAATTCGTCGAGTCTCCTTGATGAAACAATGTCGCTTGTAAAATTACCGATCTTCTTCCGCCGACCCGCCTGATTGCACAACACGCCTTGCGCTAATGATGCTTCACCGTCATTGTACACGCGAATCCGGCTCGAAGGATCATTTTGTATCGTATCGAAATAAAAGGAATGAAATTGATAGAATTATTGTGTCTTAAATAATGTGGACTGTATTTCTTTTCTGCTGTATGTACACCAGTTTCGTCTTCGAGTGTTCTAGCTCGACTAACGCCTTCCCTCGAATTCGATGAGCGGTTACTCTCGTCACCCGATTTTCTGTTGATACTCGGTAACCTTCCGTATGCTTCCATATACATCGTTCGCACGCTTTCCTATGATGCTTACATCTACAGATCGTTCGCATTTATACATATACAATATGTATATTATTCATGAGTACAGCCATCTCTTTCATCTGAAAACAAACGTACATATCTGTCACAACTCTGTTACATAATTATACGAAACGATGTATACTTACAGTGTTGAAAAAAAATTTTGTCGTATTGCTTACAAGGATTCCTTTGGCTTTACCTTCTTCGTTTTCGATTCATGCATATCCCCACGCACTTCCGTTAATGTAGTTATATATAGTTATTCAAGGGTACTCCCATCTCCTTCACAAAAGCAAATATTTGTTTTCTGAAACCAAACGTACATATATGTCACAACTATGTTACATAATTAAACTGTATAATTAAACGAAACGATGTATACTTACAGTGTTGAAAACATTTTGTCATGCACCCGTAGGTGCACCTCTAACGTCACAAACTTAGACATTGTGTCTTGCAAACGTTCCAATTCGTTTTATATATCTCGCACCATTATGGATAATGTTTCAACGTTTTCGGTAAACTCCGTCACGTTGGTGTTTATTGCTTCCGTCAACACCATCAGATTATACAGTTGCTCCATTCTTTGCACAAAGACAACGCCTCGAGAATTTTATAACTTGAAACCTTTACGCACAAAGTAGACGCTTCCAGATTTTTTTTGACTTTGACAGATCTAATACGTTTAACGATGTATTTATACCGTTCAGATCGGAGAATTTCCGGCGATATGTAACACTTTATCGTCATAGTCTCATCAAACGGATATATAACGTCAACGTCTAATCAAAAGGATATTGCGAAACGTAGGTATGGGTGACAATTTGTAACACTTTTATTATCGTAGACCAACGACTAATCGAAAGGATATAACGTCACCGTCTAATCGAAAGGATATTGTGAAACGTACGGATTCATACCATTCAAATTGTGATATTTGCGACGATTTGTAACACTTTCATCGTCATAGACCAACGCCTACTAACCCTAATATATGTATATTTATTCATGTTCATGGAGGAAAAATTTTTTATCAGAACATAAAAAACTTCTATCAAGAAATTGCTTTGTTTCGCTTTTCGATAATTATTTTAATTTACAGGAATGGACATTAGACATTGCTGCGTATGATCATGACAGATACGCAAATCATACAGAATTGTGTTCACTTAAGGTATCAGTGAAAGATATGAAAAAAATATTTTACAGTCCGGAGATTCATATGTTCAATTATAGAATGAAGCCGTCTTATCAGGTGATGTAATATTAATAATGCATAATATTAGAAAATTTAATGATGCATAAAATTAGGACAAATTTAAATAACGACTTAGAAATAATAGATAATATATAAACATTTGAAAACGAATAAAAATAAGAT